TCAGACTACAGTCAATGAAATCATAATGATGATAGATCTTCTTGAAAATATCATCTAAATCATTATCTACTGTACCGTGCTCCCAGTGAAGGTAACACTCAATCCAGTTGCATATTTCAAAGGAAAGTCTAGAATTTTGGACTGCCCTTTCATAAAAAGCTGATTTCACTTTTCTCATGATGTGAGAAAACCTTATTTGCAATTCATTTAAAGAGTCTTGAACTTTTTGATCTTCTTTTGGAAAAAGTATGATTTCTATATCTCCTAAACCACAAATATATATATAATCATTATGATAGCAAGTGAATAAAGTGCAATGTACCCTTTTGTGCTGTGTAATAGCTGGCAATATTTTTAAAACCTTACCGTCAGAACTTGATGTTCTTGGTGATAATAATGACTTTTTAGAAAAAGCATCCCTTTCCAAGGCAACTTTAATATCTTGAGTTAATTTATTTTCTTTTATACTGGTCAGTGCATCAATGACATCTCTCCATGTTGCTTCAGAATTGAGTGACAACCATTTTGAGTACAATGCTAACTTTCTGTCCTCAACTTTTACCTGTTCTTGTTCAATTTTTAAAATGTCATTCCTTGAAATTCCAGCTAAACATAAACCAAATGGTTTCCAGTCAACAAGTGGTTCAAGCCATTTAATTAATAATGAAATATCAGGTCGATCATCAATCATAGGACCAGGATTGAGTTCAACATCTCCTGATAAGAGGAGGAGCATACGTAGACAAACAATCAAATAGAGATCATTGTAAATCAGGTTAGAACTGCTGCCTCTAGGTAAGACTACTGACTGGAGGTAATTTGTATCAGTAACAGTAACACCAGTAGTACATTGTACTTGGTACCAGTTACCTAATAATAAAATACCAGTAACTGAATATACAAGTACTGAAGTACACAGTTGCAATTGTTGTTTACCTTTTGGAGGAATCATCAAGATGTGTCTTAATAAAGAGAGAGAGAGAAAGAGGAGGAGGAGGAAAGCAATAAGAGACATAGCTGCTGGCAGTTTAGATGTCTTCTCTCCTGATATAGTACTGCCTGACTTACTGTCTACTGCAACTTTGAATGAGTGAGAGTGGCAGCCATTAGCTGGTCTACTGGAGGCAGCTTGACAGTAGTTCCACAGTCCAATACTTGCTCTCCATTGGGAGACATCAATCATCTTGTATTTGCAATTGAAGTTACAGTACAAGAAATATACACTTACAAGAGAAGTGGTTCAGCTATCATTGAATGATATTCATTGTCATTTCCCCTCTACTACAGTTATTATTGTTACATGTACTTACATTCCTGTTTTTGACTAAATTTGGTCATTTCACACTGGTACTATTTTATAGTGGAGTCATACTTTGCCATTGCCATAAAATTGTTACTATTCAAGAAAATAACACTGCATGTAATTGTTAGCTGTTATGTTAATTTTTGTGTTAATTATTATTACTAGTATGATAAAATTATAAACAATACCACATTTGGGAGTATAATTATATTTTACTATATTTTTCCATTACAGTTATCTCCAGCATTTTGGTCTAGAGGGTACTGGTCCTGTTGGTATTGAAGTAAAGAAAGTGCTAGGAGACTGTGTTGAGATAGACAACAAATCATCAGACCAGTACTGGTCCCATGGGTCTGCTTTCACTAGAGGAACCAACTTAAATAAAACTGGAGACAACTGCATGCAACAAGTGAGGAAACAGTTTTAATCTGACATTATGATTACATGATGTTTGAACCAGAGAATCACTGACTACTGGTTAGAGTACCATGTGGTGGTGTAATACCACACCTTTTATTTATAATTTGATGATTTTGATCACACCTACATGTACATGTTTTTGATTGCTGCTAAGCCTGCTACATGTACATAATTTCTGTAGACAGTAGTATAGCAAGTAAATATATGTACCTATTTTTTGACTATGAACATTTTTTTAAATGCTATATTGAAGTAATGCATAAATTACTGATGTCATTACTCATTAAAGAAAGCATACACTTTTACTGGACTTAAGTTATTAAATGCATAATTTTATTATTTTTATAGATAAAGTTTCCGTCCTTAAATGACAAAAGAGAAAGTGATGGACTCTTTGCTATGATTGATGGAGGAAAATCAAGCGATGCCTCAAGCAAAATCAAAAAGAAAATGGCTACCATAGTCTACTCTGAAATGCTGGCTAGTGAAGAGAGACACAAAGATAAGGAGCTGCTGTACTTGGAGCATTCATTCCTCACTATGCACAGGCAAGTGTTCTATGTAATTATAAGTTAATAGTTTGACATACAAAATTATTGTATTACTGAAGTTCTTAAAGTGAGTCTTTGGAGCACTATATACTTTTTAAAATCTTTTCTGAAAATGCTAATAACTGTATTCAGTATCGAGCTCAGGTATTTTTTTTAAATGGTCATAACTTTAAAAATTGAAGTCGGAATCAGCTCAAACTTTCTACACAGCATAAGTACATCAATATGTATCAGATACTGTAATAAAAATTT